CTCTCTCGCTCCCTCTCCCTTCCTCTCTGAAATCAATAAAAATATATTAGAAAATAATAATAAAATAAAATAAAACACTTCCATTATGTTGAGGCCCTGGGCAAGCACCCTTGTATTTTTTTTTAAATATATTTTTTATTGATTTCAGAGAGGGAGACAGAGAGAAACATCAATGATGAGAAGGAATCATGGATCGGCGGCCTCCTGGACGCCCCCCACTGGGGACCGAGCCCACAGAGCCCACAACCGGGGCATGTGCCCTTGACCGGAATTGAACCGGGGACTCTTGAGTCCGCAGGCCGGCGCTCTATCCACTGAGCCAAACCGGCTAGGGCAGAAAGTGTGTTTTTATTTTGTTTTTATTTTTTTTAAATATATTTTATTGATTTTTTACAGAGAGGAAAGGAGAGGGATAGAGAGTTAGAAACATCGATGATGTATCAATCAGCTGCCTCCTGCACGCCCCCCACTGGGGATGTGCCCGCAGCCAAGGTACGTGCCCTTGACCGGAATCAAACCCAGGACCCTTCAGTCCGAAGGCCAACGCTCTATCCACTGAGCCAAACTGGCCAGGGCAGAAAGTGTGTTTTTAAAGGGCATTCCACTTTAAGTTGAAAGAGCCTTACAAACTATGGACTAACTCAACAAAATAGGATTTTTGCCCAAGGATGTCTTCTCTGATAGGCCGGATTATAATGGAGATAGGGATGGTTTTAGTCTCTGTAGGGACTACAGGTCTAAAGAACCAAATTAAAAAATAGATAAATCATCATAATAAAAGGCTAATAGGCAAACGGTCGTCACAACTCAACACCAAAACGCTGTAACACCGTGACGCCTTAAGGACCCATCAGCAGGGACCTGAGGCTGCGCACACCACCCCCCCACCCCCCCGCCCGGTGGGGCTTAACTGGGGTGGGGCCGGCCAGGTCTCGGTCTGGCCCGATTTTGAGGCACATGTGGGTGGGCGGGGACTTGACTCTGGGTCCCGAGGTGCGCCCCAGACTCTGACAGGAGTCTGATTTTCAGATACATTTTACTAATTTTCTTTCATCTCTGAGACTTCTATAATAGAGAAAGGGCAAATAGCAATATTAAAATATTTCCTCTAATGAATCCCCTTTTCATGTGCACGAATTTCGTGCACCGGGCCACCAGTAAATAAATAAAGAACCAAGTTCAGCCCCTGACTTTGCTTAATGGGAATGGGAAGCCACTGTAGAACTCTAAGGAGGAAGGAGGTGGTGGGTTATAACAACCTGGTGGGTTCTGCTGACTCGGGATAATCTTGCAGCCTGGGGTCCTTTCAGCTATTCACCGTTCTCTGGCACTGGGTGGGAGGACGATAAGGAAGGAATTTACAATCTCGGACAGGGTTCCCTTTGCTCGTCAGTCACATGTTGCTTGGTGACGGTGAGCATGCCCAACTCCCTGGCTTTCATTTCCTTATGAGTTTGGGAA